TCTTAATATGACCCCTAATCTAGATTGCCACAGTGTAGGGGCGGTACCCAGAAAGGCATTAAATCCCAAGTACCTACAGCTTTAAAGGTCATACCCCGTAATCCTGGGATAATTACTATTAAGCTGCAGGGAATTGGGGTTGCAGGAAATTCTGAAACCCTTAGCTCTATAAACCCTACAGTTGCCCCCAAGCCGCGTAAAAGGCGTTGCATGAGATGACGCAGACGGCTGGCCACATGGACCAGGACCTGATGCAGGTTTCTCGCTTCGGTGTCCGCTGTAGAGGGGTCAAGATTGATGAAGGGTTTCCGCGAGGTAAAGCTTCTGGGGAGTTTTTCAAAACCCGCGCTGTGAAAGGAAACAACCCCCCCCCGCCCCCCCCCCCTCCCCCATTTCTGGAGTGATTATATTCGGAATTGTATCTGGGGATACGGACCCAAGTAGAGGCTTTAGGCTTCAGGACGTGGGCTCTAAGGGGTTGGTTGAGGCTCTTGGCCGCACACGGGTTGTGGATTAGGAAGAGGGGCTAGCTTTTGGGGTTGAGGGTGACGCAGATTGCCAACACATATGGCAAGGGCCGACCCTACTAGGTCATCAGGCCGGCCATCCGATAGTCCAGAGCCTTGTACGCTACTACTCCTCATGACTTCGGTTTAGGTTTAGGGCTTCCAGAAATTGGTGGCCCTGTCTGGGAGTCCCTATGATGAGGATTNNACCATGTGCCCTGAGCCCTAAACCCTAGACCCTACATGGAGTTGAAGGTGCAACCCTAAACCCTAGACCTTAAACTCTAAACCGTAAACTAAATCCGAAACCCAGCTCTGAGCTCTTGGCTTGATCCTACAGGATGCTGATGAGGGTATGGCCCCACCACCAACCTCGTCTGGAGTGGACCAGGACTTGCAAAAAGAGCTGAGCGATCCCAGTGTCGCTTGATCAGCATTCCAAACAGGTATGGGGGGGGTTTCCCAAAATTAGGGGTACCTACTATAATGGAGAATCAAATGGAAAAGAAAATGGAAAATGAAATGGAAACTGGGATTATATAGATTATAGCCACTACTATGGAATATGATTGTACCACACTGTTGGTTGTAGTTTGATTTAGAAGAATACTATGCAGCCTTGCGTAGGTCAACCGCACAAAGCCCTCACTTAAGTTTCCCTGGAGCATGTTCCATCTTCAATGCCCTACTCACCACCCGAAGAAACTTAGAAGCTGTGTGTTCTACAGGGTTCCAGGGAGGTTTGGGGGAGGGCGGGGGGTGGCGGCACCTTCATATGGACAAGGTAGGGGCAGTGAAGGGCTAATTAAAGTTTGTGTCGTCCCTCCTGAGGTACCCGCACCCCCCCCAACCTCCATGAATAGAACATATCCCTGGGTTCGGTTTTTGCAGGAATATCTGAGAGTTCCTCAAAAGGCCACGAGCCCTGCAGAATTATACCTCCAAGCAGAGCTCTACATCGGAATGAGTAATGTGGGTGCCTAAATCGACCTGAACAAGCAAACCCCAAATTGTGGTCCTAGATTCCCGGTATAACTATGGTATAGGGTACCTCAATCGGACTTCACAATGCTGTTGGCAATTATTTAGGCCCCTACATTGCGCCTACTTGCAAAAATTTTCAACCCAACTCGTGTCCCCAAATCCCAGGGTTTAGGGTTTAGGGTTTAGGATTTAGGGTTTAGGGTTTAGGGATCCCACACCCCAAACAAATCCGATCTTTGACGAACTCACTAAGCCCTGAAGCCTCAAGCGTGGAGTAAATAGAAGTGGCACAGGGCCAAGAGGCAGAATGCAAAAATTCGCACAAAACTCCGGACATGAACCTCCCACAATTTCTATACAGTTTCTATAGAATTTCCATACAACTTCTGTATTCTGAGCCCTACATCCTAAACCACCTAAATCCTAAGCAGAGGTCCGGGGCCGTGTGGAAGATTTCGCTTCAGACCCTGAGCTCCTCGCCAAAGTCATCCAGGGCAACTCCCTGATCCAGCAGCTGGCTGCTATGAATCTTGGTAGGGTTTAGGGTCTAGGGTGTAGGGTTTGAGGTTCCTGCATGACCCTGAGTATCCTATACCTTGGGAATTATGGTACAACAGTCTGTTGAGGTCATACAGGATTTTTTTTGTATCAGCAGCAGGGTTTAGGGCCGAGGGTTATTCTTTCTATTGCTTTTCCTGTCACTGTAGACCCCCGATTAATATGCTCCCCTTAATAGTTAGAATAGGGATCCTAATGTTAAGGCCCAAAAACTGAGGGGTGGCTCCCCCATTAGTATTGTCAAAGACTGTAAGTTTGTACCTTTAATGCTTGTAACCCTAGGTTTTGGGTCCCAATTACCCTTATTAAGTGCCATGTTCCATAGTTTAGGGACCCAAGGGTACAAACCCTAAGGGTACAAAGGAAAACTCCCCGATATTGCTGATGTGGTTGCTGTGAGTTTTGCTCTGGCTCTTTGCATCCCGTTTTGTTTTGGCTTTGGAGTTTCCTGAATTCACCCTAAACCCTAAACCCTGGGCATTTCAAAAAGGCACCTAGGGACCTCGATGACCTTCTTACAGCCCCCATATGGGGGTTTCCCAAAATTAGGGGTACCATTTTGGGGCTCCCTGTAATAACGGTTGTAGTATTTTGGGGTCTATGTTGGGGTCCCCCTATTTAGGGAAACTACCATATATCTCTGAGTTTTAAGAGATTCCCAAACCTGAATACCAGCCCCTGACAGCCCTGACAAAAAGGCAAGATATTATAAGAAGGCTTTTCCAAAAATGGAGGTCTTGGTCGTCTAGGTTTCTGGTGTTTTGGGCAAGAAGCAGAGACCCCCTCTTTTGTAAAAAAAAGGCAGGTGGCGCAGTTGCTATTCAAATTAAACTGTGACCTTGGTATACCATACTACCATTCCAAAGGTAGAAAGTACGTAGGGTCATGGTGACTTTTTCGTATCAACCGTAGGAACCATCAAAAGCAGCCCAGGAACCCGATGGCCGCTCAAGTCATCAACAGCCCGGAGGCCTTGCAGAAGATTTTCAGCCCGGAGATGTTGGACGTGCTGAAAGAGGGCCGGAAGCCGGGAGAGGCTATGATCGAGTCCATCCTTGGTTCTTCGCAGGCGTACGAGTAGACCCTTAGGCCCTTAGGTAGCCTGAGCATCAGGCGGCGGGGGCATAAAGCAGGTGCGCTCCAAGTGGTGCTGGCTTTGGCTGCTGCTTAATCTGTGCAGAAAGCACAAGACTCCCTGAATTCGTTATAGGGTCAGGAGGGCCGGTGCTCATGTTATTGCCAGATGCTTTGCTTTGCTATAGCGCAAAAAACCAATGGCTTTTACAGACCTTCAGTGTTGTTTGCATGCATTCTCATACTCGTGTATGAAAGCACCAACTGCCTTCTACCGATCGTGCAGACCCCTGTGCGAAGCCTGGCTGAGGGTGCTTTTCACACTGGCCAAGGGCTGCCGTGTCATCAATCGTCAGTCGGAGATTGCGAAGCTGGCATTGAACAAAATAATCCCTTCGCTGACATGCGCTCTGCAGGGGCAAGCCAAGACAGCTTAACAGCTTGTGCTATGCGCCTCCGTCCATCCCAAGGCCCAATCCTTACAACTGGGGCCAATTTTTTGGACCCTTTTGAAGCGTACCCACAACAGCAGGGGCGCATACCAATCATCGAGGATCCCACTCCCAGATAGTCCGACCCAAACCTCCTAAGCCTGACAGCGTAAACCTGAAATATTCCAGAATTCCCTTTGCCAGGGCTGAGGCCCTCAATGGCACCCTCACAGGGCCGAAGCCTTAGACCGGAGGCAAGGGAATGAAATCATGAATTAGGGTTAAGGGTTTAGGCTACGAAATCATGAAGTGCATGTGGGTATATAGGGTTTACATAGTGGTATGGAAGAGAAAATGGAAACTACCACACGGTATGTTTGTATAGGGGTATATAGGGGAATGGAGAAGAAAGTGGACACTATCATATGTTCAGGGTTTAGGGTGGGTCCTCGTATCTTCCTATCATACCACTAGTACAGGGCGTGGGGTCCCCCAAAACCCTAAATAGTAGTCCATTATCCCAATATATCCCCAATATAACCCTAATATTAGTCCAATGTACTGTTACAGGGTGGGGGGTCCTCCTAACACTGACATGCTGATGGGGGCTGGCTCCCCAAAACCTCAGGCTTAAGCGGCGAGACATGTGAGGATTAGCAGCAGACACATAGGCTTACACAAGCCCTGAACCCTAAACCTTTAGCCCTAAAGCCTAACCCGAAACCCCTAAAACCCTTGACCCTAGACGCTTGACCCTAAAAACCCTAAAGCCCGAAACCCTAAGCATACGTGCATCCCGCGCCTGAACCCAGGCCCTTACGCCCTCAACCCTCAACGCCAGCCTAAACCCGAAACGCCTAGACCCCTAGAACCCTAAAACCCTAACCCCGAAACCCTAAACCACTAGAACCTAAACCCTGAATCCAACACCCCTAGAGCCCTAGAGCCCTAGAGCCCTAGAGCCCTAAACCCCCTAAACGCCTCAACTTCAAGTTTCTCAATAGATCCTGACAGAATCCCAAAAGCTAAAAGGGGTTCAAGGTTCAGGGTTCAGGGTTTGGGTTTAAGGTTTCTTGTGAACCCCTAGGCCCTATGCCAAGTGCAACGTTCTGTTTTGAGTTTAAACCCCAAATCCTGAACGTTAAGCCATAAAGGCTTATGCGTAAGCCACAAGTCTTAAACACTAAAACCCTGCACCGTAAACCCTAAACTCACAAGCCCATATAAAGTTACCATTACTTAGGATTCTCAAATGCCCTTAGTCTCAACATTTCAAAGGTCAAATGACCCCGCCCCCCCCCGCCGCCAAACCCTAAGTAATGGTAATAAACACCAACCCTTAACCCTAAACCCTATACCTTAAGCCATAAACCCTAAACACTAAAGCCCTAAACACTGAAACCATAAACCTTAAACCCTAAACTCCAAACACTAGACCCTAGACCCTTAAACCCTAAGCCCAGGCCCACCAGCAAGGAGGCACGGGAGGAGATGTTGGGCTTCTTCCCAGGCTGCGCGGGCCTTGGCTGAGGGTTGCAGTTATAAGGGATGGTATAGAGGCTTCATAGGGCTACGCATGCCTGACAGCAGGAATGCATGGGGTTGTTGAGGGTTTAGGGTTGGGGGTTTAGGGTTCAGGGTTTAGGGCCGTTTAGGGTTTGCTGTTTCGGAGTTCAGGTTTCGGGTTCAGGGCTTATTGTCGGCAATGACTCCTGCATGTAGGGTATGGACACAAGAGCAGTTGGGTGGCAGAGTCTCAGTTGTTGGTCTTCGGGCTCAGGATTTAAGAAGAGGCATCACCAGGTTGGGCAGGGTCGAGCACTCGATCTGCTCTTCTGTTGATGGAGGGCTTGCAGTCAGGGTTCAAAAGTGTTCAAAGTTCTAGTGGCTCACACACTTTGTGGAAGTATCCAAAAATGGCGGACCCCAACATGCCCCCAAAACACGATCATCCTTTTTATAAGGACCCGTAATGTTCGGAAGTCCCGTGTGTTCTTGTGCCTGTCACCAAATCGTCTTCTTTCTATCTTTTTGTCTAGCTCCACCTCCTTCCAGAAATGTTGAATTGTGAGGGATTGTATAGGGGTTATACAGAATTATGCAGAGGTTATATTTTAAGGCATATAGGGTTTAGGGTCATTATATTACTTGATCCGATAGTGACTTTGGCTGGCAACTTCGGTATTCGACAAGCTGTCGTAAGAAACCGCGCTAAGCGTGATCATGAGCCCTGACTTCAAATCAGAAAGCCCCTAAACCCTAAACCGCTCGGCTCCGTAGTATGGTGGTTTCCCAAAATAGGGAGACTCCAATATAGACTCCAAAGTACTATAATCTCTATTATAGGGGCCCGCCCAAACTGGTACCCCCTGACTTAAGCAGAACACCATCTGGGCAAGTTTTGAGCGATCTCACCTAGGAGCGTTTCACGGTGGCATTTGCCAAAGTTAAGGTCAATGCTTCGGCTTGCTACAGCTAGGGGTGTTAGGGTTTAAGGTTTGGGATATGAGGTTTAGGGTTCAGATGTTTAGGGTTTAGGGGTTAGGGTTGAGGGTTTAGGGTTTACAATGCCCCACGTTCGCAAATGCCAATATGGAAATACGGAATTCTTCAAATAGGGACCCGCGCGTTGCCTGAGCAATTCCCGATGTCCCTGAGGTCCCACAGGGCACCCATGTTGAGAAACTCCCATATGATGTTGCAGGTTTTGGAAACCCCAAAGCCCTCAACCCCGAACCCTGGACCCTAAACCATAAACCCTATACCCTTAACCTTATACCCCTAAATCCTATACCCTAAACCCTCAAACCGATACCCCTGAATCCTAGACTCTAAACCCCTAAACCCTAGACCCTAAAGCCGCAACCCTATCCCCCCCTAAACCCTTTTTCCTGAGACCCTAACCATTCAACGCTGAGGTCGGGGCTACGAGACGGACGAGGCGAGGACCTGCAGCAACACCGGAGATTAGAGAGGGTTTAGGGTTTTGGCGTTTAGGGTTTAGGATTCAGGGTTAGGGTTTAGGGTTTGGGATTTAGGGTTCACGGTTTAGGATGTAATGTTTAGGGTTCAAGATAATTAAAGGGCTTAGGGTTAAGAGTTCAGGGTTCACGGGTTAGGGTTTAGGGTTGGACCAGGTAGAGGAAAATCGAAGAAATGATAGGGTTTAGGGCCTAGGGTGTTGGGTACCAATAGTGAACAACAAGGAAAAATCAAACGGCAAATGACATACAGGCTGAGATTATATATTATAGATGACAGGGTTTAGGGCTAGGAATGGGACACCTAAGTTATTATAAGATAATATCCTATGGTCCCTTATCATCAGTATTTCAGACAACTGTAGTGTGTGTACTTTGTTCGGATAGTGAACGCAGGTGGTCCCTGACCCATTAATACGTAGTGTTTAGGTAGCAATTTGTAGGGCCCAAGTATGATTGCCATGACCCGTGTGATGACTTGTTCTGGCCTAAGGAATGCTGCTGCTAGGATTTTTCCCTGGCAAAGTGAAGGGTTCAGGAGTCAGGATTAGGGTTTGGGGTTTGGGGTTGAAGGTTTAGGGTTAAAGGTTTGGGTGATGTGTAAGAAATCCAAGACTTGTTGTATACGCCCTGAACCCACACCCCGAATCCTGAAGCATTAAACCTTAAGGTCCGCACACTAAACCCGTTGTCTTCTAGGTTGGTAGAGCAGTGGATTCCTTTAACAGCCTCTTGAGCGACCAGAACATGTGTTGATTCCTCCTTTTCACCATCTTCACGCTAAACCTAAGTGAGAACATAAGATGGTTCTATTTTCTTCCCATTTCTCCAGTAAGCCAAAGACAGGACCCCTCGACGAACGTAGCTGTCATCTTCTTTTCTATTCTTCCGGTAAATTGAGACCAAGACCCAACAAAGGAGGCAGTTTCTATTCTCGCCCAGGATCGGAAGTATTACTATTGCTGTACTAGTGCTATTACTCTCGCTCTTTTTATGGTTCTCACGATTCTCAAGATCCCAGAAAACCATGAGAATGATCAACGCCACCCTCTTCAAGACCCCGCCTACCCTGAAGGACATCCCACTTCCCTATGAAGCTAAGAAGGCACAACAGTCTCTAGTAGCGGTTGGGGTGTCTGTAAGGGGTGGATGTTGGCGCTCCTGGAGGGGGGTAGTGAATATTCCCATGACTGCAGGCCCCACACCTCAAACCCTTCACCCTAAACCCTAAATCCCAACGCCTAAACCCGAAAGCCTTAATCCTAAACCTTAAAATCCAAACCCTGAGTCTGGGTAAAGGCCATTGCACGGACCACCTTCTGCTCCTTCATCTTCAAAAGGCAAGAGGAGCATAGTCAGGCCCCGGGGGAAGTCTCGGGGTCCAGAAGCACAGAGGCTGTTGGGCGTTAGGTCCGATCACGCTTGCCCCTTGAAAGGGGATGTAGGGCTTAGGGTTTAGGATATGTAGGGTTAGGATTTAGGTTTCCGGGGTTCAGGGGTTTAGGGTTTGCAGCGCGTGTTTGGCTTGCACTCTAGACTTTCTCAAGGATAGAAGTCTTTTTAGCAGTTGTTCAGGGAAGGATTACTCTCGTTTC